ACATTTATCTCTCAAAGCCATGCAACTGTAAATAAACTGCCTGTGATTTCCAATTCTTCAGTTTCTCCCTCCCAGTCCAGAGAACTCTTTACCAGTGTCTCTCATAAGAGAAGGTCATCTGCCTCAGGAGGCCCATGTCTGACTCTTTGCTCCTGCCAATCCTGAAGAAGGAGCCTCAACCTTCCTCCCAACCAGGTAATGGAGGGCTGATGGTAAGTAGACCTGCAATATTGGTCATGCTCCATCAGCGTCTCTGTGTAATGCAGTGAATGCTGTGGACACAGAGGGCTGGGGAGCATTGTTTCCTCCACACCGAGAGAAGCAGTACACTTCAGATGACCAGATGAAAGACAGGGAGTGCTAAGTTTCAATCAAGGGGCCTATGAAATTTCTCTTACTGTTTCTGGTAGAGATCCAAGAAAGTTCCTTTAGAGGTTTAGTTTCTTCTACATTGATTCTGATTTCCACAGGCACTTCCTCATCAGGAAATAGGGCCCTCTTACCTGTACCCAAACACTTCAAAATGATCTTGTAGACAAAAAAAAAAAAAAAAAAAAAAAGTTGGAGGTATAATGATGACATATATTGATAAGCATAATGAGAATTATGTTGACGGTAACCACAGTATTATCAATGCTATTTGAAGGCTGCCAAGTGGTAGGATGTGAACAAAGTTTTCTGTGTTACTTGTTTCCTTTTCCTGCAAAACCACCCCCCAAAAGAACAACACACATTAGTGTCATTTCACACAAGAGAAAATGTACACCATCTGTTTTTGTAACCTGTACCAGGTCATAGGTCAGAAAAGGTTGAAGCCTGGTTTGAATCTGGGTAGTGTGACAACAGACACAAGGCACATCAATACATTCTCTCTTGTCCACTTGCCTTGCCATTTCATTTCACGGGTCTCTCCAGGATGAGACCTTCTGCTCAATGTACTCTTTGTGTGGCATTTCTGCTAGATCACAGTGGGCAGGTATGCATAGCTTTTGGTGCTTAGACAATCAGAATGCTAGTTGAGAACACTAGAGTGTATCACATTAGGAGTTGGAAGATGATAATTCAAGACAGATCCTTCTCTTGACCCTTGTCCTGCATTTTGTCTCAGCTATCTACTTCCTACTCCATCCTTATAATTTTGACCCTCTTGATCTCAAAGGGAGACATAAAGACAGGATGATGGGTTCCATTGCTAGTTAGTCAGCTGTAATAAATTTAATGATGTGTCTTTGATTAGGTTACCTGGACTTTTGTTTTACACATTTAAATTTACAGAAGCTGAGCCAAAATTGTTAGTTCATACCCTTGGAGATTTATCATTTCATTGTATTATATTTGCTCTAGTTATTATCTGTGTGTAATTGGGCAAATTCTTAGTATCTCTCAGTTTGTATGCTGCCATCTGAGTTTATCCACAGCCGACAGAGTGAAAGATCGGCACTGCGGTCAGGGTTGGACATATAATGTATGGTACATATGTGATTGAATATATGATAGATTTAAATAATAATAACAAATGAATCTTACATATCATTATTAATATTAATTGGATAAAATTTCATAACTTTCAAGTAAAGTACCCTGATCTGAAGGTTTCAATTTGTCTAGATCCCTGTAAGAACATTTTATTTGCATTCTTATACAAATAGATACTGAATGTTTACAAGGAAAAACTGAGTATCATTCATTTCTGATTCCCCAGAGCCTAGTCTGTGCATAGTACAGAGTAGGCAACAGCCACACACAATGAGAACTCTGTATTCAATATGGGATAGACCTTTCCTTGTATCACAGGATGAGATCACAGGCTGTATGTCTTCTACAATGAATGCATTCCTGTCTGGGCTTTCATCCCAGAGGACCAGACACAAGATAAAATAAAGCATAAATGTATCTATATATTGGATTTTTCATGGGACATATTTAGTACAGTATATGCCACTCAATTATCTTAAAAACAATGTGGAATATTTCCAAAAAGGGAAAACAATCAGAGAAGGGAGAGTAAATGATATTATGTGAACATTGGCACATTTGGAAATTTCCATACACTCTATGCTTAAATTTCCTAGCACATATTAGGCTTCTATCTTTCCTATAAATTAATGAAGGAAGGATTATATTTTAACAATAAGTGTACTACTCTCATATTGGTTCAAGTTATGATTAATAACATGGTTGACATGTCCAAGTATGTATTAACTGCCCAACTTGGCCATATTGTGAGAAGGGACCATTTCCTGGAGAAGGATAGTATACTTGGTAAAGTGGAGGACCAGCAAAAAGGAGGAAGGTCCATAGATGGGTTGACACAGTGGCTGCAATGATGGGCTCGAGGATAGCAAGGATTGTGAGGATGGTGCAGTACCAGCCTGTCTTTTGTTCTCTTGTACATGGCATCATGTATAAGCTTCCAGAATTGTAAGCTGGGTTCATAAGAGGATGTGGAATGATGGATTTCATAGCTGATGTTACATGGATCTTGGCTAAAAGCAAAGAATACCAGAAAGATGTACACTTTTGTTTTGTCAACCGGTGCAAAAGCATTTGGTTGTGTGGATCACAACAAATTATGGATAAAATAAGAAGAATGGGAATTCCAGAACACTTGATTGTACTCATGAGGGACCTGTACATAGATCAAGAGGCTGTCATTTGAACAGAGCAAGGAGATAATTCATGTTTTAAAATCAAGAATGGAGTGCATCAGGGTTGTATCCTTTCACCATTCTTATTCAATTTTTATGCTGAGTAAATAATCCAAGAAATGGTTTATATGAAGAAGAACCTGATACCAGGATTGGAGGAAGACTCATTAACAACTATCTACACACAGATGGCACAACTTTGGTTGCTGAAAATGAGGATTACTTGAAGCACTTACTGATGAAGATTAAAGACTACAAACTGCAGTATAGATTACACTTCAATAGTAAGAAAATAAAAATCCTCACAACTGGTTCAATAAACAGATTCACAATAAATGGGGAAAGATTGACATTGTCAAGGACTTCATAAGACTTAATTCTGCAATCAGCACCAATGGGAGCAGCAGTCAAGATATCAGACAATATGTTTCATTGGGGAAATCTGCTACAAAAGACCTCTTTCAAGTGCTGAAGAGCAAAGATGTGTTCTTGAAGACTAACGTGCGCCTGACCCAAGCCATGATATTTTCAATTGCCTCTTATGTGTGTGAAAGCTGGACGATGATAAGGAAGACTGGAGGAGAATTGATGCTTTTGAATCATGGTGTTGGAGAACAATGCTAAAAGTACCGTGGGATGATAACAGGACAAATAAATCTGTCCTGGAAAAAGTGCAGCCAGAATGCTCCTTGGAAGTGACAATGGCCAGACTTCGTCTCACCTACTTTGGTCATGTTGTCAGAAGGGATCATTCGCTAGAGAAGGATGTCATGCTTGGTAAGGTGGAGGGTCAACAAAGAAAGGGAAGGCCCTTAAAGAGATGGATTTACACAGTGGCTGCAACAATGGGCTCTTGTAGCAAAGATCACGAGGCTGGCACAGGACTGGGAAGTGTTTTGTTCTGCTGTGCTTAAGGTCGCTGTGATCCAGAAATGACTCCTCAGCATCTAAAAACAGCAACAACATATGGGGTCATAATGAGCTGGAACTGACTCAGAGGTACATAACAACTATATAACAATAACAAACTTGTTAGCTGCCACATGCATAGTAGTGATGGATATTGTTCTCCTGTTTCCAATTAAGAGAAGTTGAGAGATTTATAGGCACTACATATTTAGTGTGTGAAAGATACGGAATTTGGAACTTGCTGTCCTGTTTTCTATCCCAAGGTTCTGTCTCCACAACCAGAGATGAATGATTGTTTGTCTATGCAGATGAACAAATTGCAAGTCAACCATTAATCCTTCCTCTTACAAGTCAGTGAATTGATATGTTTGTTAAGAAATTGGGCCAAATGCTTTACAGGGCATTTTATAATGTGAAGCTTGTGTATTGTAGGGCGTTCTGTGAAGGGTAATGCATTTTATTGCATGGTTAGTAAATATGATCTGGGAGAATATTCTTCCCTACAAAAAAAAAAAAAAAACCACCTCACTGACATTGAGTGGATTCCAACCATAAAGACCACTCTTTGGGTTTCCAAGGCTGTATCTCTACAGAAGTAGATTGCCAAGTCTTCCTCCTGAGCAGTAGCTGGTGGATTTGAACTGCCAGCCTAATGGTTAGCAGTCCAATGTCTTAGGCACTAAGCCACCAGAGCTCCATAGAGGATGATAATTTTTGTATGAATCAGTCATGTAATAACCATTACAAGGTAACTTTCATGGATATTTGTCACACCTTGGCAATAAAAGCATTTGAAATGAAAGGAATTTATTATACTGCAGTTGTGTAAAACAAAGTACATTTTACATTTTACAACAAAGAACTGGTTGTCAGTGAGTAGATTTTAACCAATGTAACCCCACGATTTCACAGTGGAACTGTGTTCCATGGAATTTGCAATAACAGACTTTTCATATGTGCATCACTAGACCTGTATTTTGAAAGTGCATTAACATTTGTCCCTGGAGCTGCAAGTGTTTCCTTGTGCCCTTTAATTGAAATGACTTTTTCCTTAAAAAAACAACAACAAAAAAAAGATATGTATTATTGAATATGTTTTCATAGAAGGGGCTGATATACAGTTCCTTATATGGATTTGTTGAAATGTCTTTGCCAGTCAACATTTTTTAGACCTGGGTCTCTACAGTGGTTGTGTGTGCAGACAGGTGACGAGCACAGAGACAATGAGGACAGAGCTCTGAGCAGTGCAGTGTTTGGGTTTAGAACAGCCAAGTAATATTGCAGGAGGTACTGGGGTATTAGGATCTCAAGTGTGTACAGTTGTAAATTTACATGCTTTACTTAGGAATTTCTTAAGCACAAAATACAGACACTGTTCTGGATGCCTGTACACTTGTTTTATTTATCTTTCTTCTCTTATTTTTCAAAACCTGCCTAAGGTACATGGAGCCACAAAATCTAACAGGTGTCTCAGAATTTATTCTGCTGGGTGTTTCTGAGGATCCAGAACTTCAGTCTCTGCTCTTTGGGTTGTTCCTGTCCATGTACCTGATCACTGTTTCTGGGAACCTGCTCATCCTCCTGGCTGTCAGCTCAGATCCCCACCTCCACACACCCATGTACTTCTTCCTCTCCAACCTGTCCTTGGCTGACATTGGTTTCGTCTCCACCACCGTCCCAAAGATGCTGGTGAACATACAGACACAGAGCAAATCCATCACTTATGTGGACTGCCTAACACAAATGTCCTTCATTTTTTTCTTTGGGTGTCTGGACTGTCTGTTCCTCACTGTGATGGCCTATGACCGACTTGTGGCCATCTGCTACCCTCTGCACTACACAGTTATCATGAACCCCCGCCTCTGTGGCTTGCTGGTTTTGGTATCTATTTGCATTTGCCTCTTCTACTCCCAGGTGCCGATTTCATTGTTGTCACAGGTTACATTCTGCACTGATGTGGAAATCCCGAGTTTCTTCTGTGACCTTCCTCAACTCTTTAACCTGGCCTGTTCTGACACCTCCACCAATATCATAGTACTCTATTGTATCTGTTCCATCTTTGGTGGTGTCCCAGCCTCAGGGATCATTTACTCTTATATGAGAATTGTCTCCTCTATTCTGAGAGTCTCAACTTCAGGTGGGAAATATAAAGCCTTTTCCACCTGTGGCTCTCACCTGTCTGTTGTTTGCTTATTTTATGGAACAGGCTTTGGAGTGTACCTCAGTTCAACTGTCTCTTCTTTTGCAAAGAAGAGTGTAGTGGCTTCAGTGCTGTACACCGTGGTCACCCCCATGCTGAACCCCTTCATCTACAGCCTGAGGAACAAGGACATCAAGAAAGCTATTTGGAGGTTTCTCTGCAGTAGAGCCAAATCTTAACACCTGTGCAAAATTTTTTGATGTGTGATTTCAAAATTATCACAAAGCACAACACATTAAAAACTGAAATCATGTCTCTTTTGGTACATAAGTTTTGTAGATCTGATGGGCTTCAATCTTGGGTTTTATATCTGAACATTGCTTCCTGTGTCATGTCTTTGATACAATTTTGGGAGCATTCTGGGATAGGTCAATCTATATGATCAAATCCCATTATAGCTACAGAGACTTCCATAGATCTGTACATGTGGTCCAAGCTTCCTGATGCACCACTCTAGTTTTATGTACTTATGATATTCGTCCTTTACCATAATAATTACCTCTTACTCAGACTACTTTAGTATCTAAGAGAAGTGCATATTCAGGATACGTTTGGGAATGCATGTCACTGGTCCTGAACCTTGGGTTCACATGGGAAGCTTAATAATATGTCTTCTTCTCATAGATATAGATTCATATTTAATTGTGACAGCATGTGACTTGAGTATAAGATTTGTGAAACCAGAGCCTGGTGGAACCCCTTAGACTATGATCCCTAGCTTCCCTTCTGATCTAGAATTGAACCCACTCCTATGGCTTCCACCCAAGCAAAAGAAAGCCATGTAAGTTGAACATTTACATTAGGTAGATACACTCCTTGGAGAGATAAATTATGGGAGAATAGAAGGGCTGTATATGAATAGGGAGACAGCTCAGAGAGCAAGAGGAAGAGGTAATTATGGGGAGGAAGTGGGAGGGGAGCTGTTGCATTATGGGAAATTGCAGTCAATGTCATGAGACAAAGTATATGTGAGCTACTGTATGGAAAGTGAATTTGTTTTGTAAACTTCACCTAAATCACAAAACAAAAAAATTAAACAAACAAACAAACAGTTTTGTGAAACACCACCAATGGTTTTATTATGCAATCTATATGAGAATTACACATTTTTTTTTAGACTTTTCCTTCAAAGATGGCTAGTTTATTGTGGGTCTTTTACTCCTTCTGAGGAGATGCTGAAGATCTTGAAGTCATCAGCACTCAGAACAGAAATACATGAAAATATTTACCCTACAGAAAGCAAGTGCTTTTCCCTATATTTCTCCTCAAGTCTTCTCCCTGCACATCATTCTGTTGTTAGCTGCTCTTGATTAGCTCCATGACACAGGGGGGTCCCGTGCCCAACAGAAAAAAATGCTGCTCAGTCGTGCGCCATCCCCATGATCGACTTGAATTAGACCATTGTGACCCATAGGGTTTCAGTGGATGATTTTCAGAAGTAGATCTCAAGCCCGTTCATAATAGAACATCTTAGTCTGGGATCTCTGCTGGATCCTGTGCAGTGTTTTAGCAACATATGGTTCTGCTGACAGATGGTGACTCCTCAGGAGGTATATTCATTGGGAATCACCCCTGGCCATCCATGTGGAAGGGGGCAGCTTTCCCAATGAACCACCATCACCTCTGCACTGCACACCACAAACAGGGTCCCATGTGCTTGCTGATATGCTATTGTCCACCTTCTTCAAATTTGCCCTTTTACACTTTACTCTGCCGTGTTAGGATGGGTAAAGGAGGATCTTCAAACTGCTGTCCTGATTCCCATCTGGGTTTATTATTAGGTTCTCCCAATAATATTCAGTAAAGATCACCATGCCCTAAGAAGCTCACCTTTCCCTTATCCCTGTGTCCTTAGGCCCGGTTGTGGTGGCTGATTTCTGCAGTAACTGTCTCTGCATTGCCACATTAGTCCTCTTTGCCTTTCAGTCCTTGTATAACTATTTCAACAATTTTCTGTATTAAATGATCTTCATGATGTTCTCCCCTTTCTTTATTGTATCCTGACTGATAAATTCTACATGGGGAATCAAGGTATTTGATTTGAATCAAGGTATTTGTGAAGTGTGTAATATTGGAGCATTGTTGTTGTTGTTGTTGTTGTTATTTGCCGTCGAGTCGGCCCCGACTCATAGCGACCCCTCCTTGGGTTTCCGAGGCAGTATCACTACGGAAGTAGGATTGCCCAACCTTCCTTCCGAGAAGTGGCTGGTGGGTTTGAACCGCCAGCCTTCTGGTTAGCAGTCAAGTGCCTTAGGCACTATGCTACCAGAGCTCCCATTGGAGCATTAGAAATCATATATTGTAAGTTTTTCTGTAACACATAACCCCTGGATGTTCTTTTCATAAGTGCACTAAATCATTATTATTTTATTATATTTTTATATGTTGCTGACTTCAATTACAAGTTTGTTTGTTTGTTTGTTTGTTTGTTTGTTTTTATTGTAATATGAAGTCTTCATCTTGGTTCCTGTAGATGTGGAGGTCTGGTTCCCGGGAGCAGAATCACACCTGCCCACCCTGGACTATCCAATGCAACAACTCTCCCAGCAGATTTTTTCCCTGTTTGCAAACTGCTTTCTCCAAAGCAAGATGAAATCACTTTTTCCTCTGGAAACAGCACTCACCAGGGGGGCAGACCCCGGCGTTGGTAGTCCAGGGGTCTGCACACTCTGGCCCAGGGACACCGCTCAGGCAAGTGATGCTGGCCTGGCACAGCTGCACACATTCTTCCCCACTAACTACCTTGTGGGCTACCTTCCTCAGGTGGTTGAACAACATGGATGTCCCAGGGCAAGCATGAGAGCATGGGTGCAGAGGGGTCAAACACCCCTTGATTGGAGGAGATGGGTGCTACTGGCAATCTGGTGGCTGCATGAGCCAGGGCAGTGCCCTCACACATCCATACTGTCCTGCCACCCAGTTTCACATGGATCTGTCACCCTGGGACCTGGCAGTGTGTGCTCAGGCTGTGACAACCCTGCATACGGTGCTCTGCCCAACCCTCCTCCTGTTTCCAGTGAAGCATCTCTGGGAGGAGATGGGCTCCAAGAACTTCAGTGCCCTCAGGCCTCAGGGAGGACTGTCTCCAAACAGAAAGGGGTGTCACTTGTTTATTTTCTGATTACCAGGCAATTACCAAACTGGATCCATGATTTCATGACCAGGGGATATACCTTTATTATATAAGTATGATCAAATGTAATATTTATGGACTACTGAATGAAGCCATAATTCACTTCTGGAAATTCCATACCACACTTGTAGTTTCTGCATGGGCTCACTATGCCAAAAATTTTGTTTTTATGTATTTTCCTCCTTTCCGTCTATGACATGTTTTCAAGTGTTATTTATGTGGGTGCACTAGTTGTGAGTAAATGCAGTAATAGGTTTTGCAAGGAAAATATTAAATTTTCAATATTAGCTCCTCTATCTCACTGGCTGTGTGGACTGGAGCTTGCTATTAAAATCCCATGTCATCCATTTCTTCATATTTAATGATACATAGCTTACAACCCATAAAGATCAAAGAAATAATGTACATGCTTGATAAGAATCAGGAAATATATATGCCACTGCCATTTTCACCTACTCTACAGCTTATGCCATCCAAATACATTATTTGAACTCTAAGTGTGTCTTACTTTGGGTATCTGACATGCAGTTACAATTATCTTTCCACAATAAAGCCTTGAATAGTTCAAAGTCAGGAAATGAACACTATTTATATACATAATAATAATATAACACAATGAGACCAGAGATTAACTCATCTCTCCTTTGCATTATGTTGACTAAGATGAAGACATTTGGAATTGATTTATCCAGTGGTTTCCTTCCTCCCTGAAACAGTATACCTTCCACAGAGATCTGAAGGAAGAAATGTTGGCTCTTTTCTCTGTATTATTATGGAACTTTGATTGTTGTTGTTGCTATTTGCTGCTGGGTTGGTTAAGTCACATACTGACCCCATGGACAACAGAATCAAATACTAACTGGTCCTACAACATCCTCACACTTGTTGCTATAACTGAGCCCATTGTTGTAGCCACTGTGTCAATTCATCTCATTGAGGTTCTTCCTCTTTTTCTTTGACCGTGTACTTTACCAAATGTTTTGGTTTCCTAGTGCTGCTCTGACAGGAATCTACCACCAATGGGATGGTTTAACCAAATAAGAGTTTATGTCTCTTATAGTCTGGAGGCTGCAAGTCCTAGTCAAGTGCCAGGCTCTAGGGGCTGAGTGAAAGCCCACCTAGTCCTGCTTTGACAGGAATAAAACACCAATGGGGTGGCTTTAACAAACAGGCGTTTATTCTCTTACACCCAGGCTGCAAGTCTGAGTTCAAAGTGCCAGGCTCTAGGGACTGGGTGAAAACCCCTCAACCATGGGCTTCAGGTCTGCCTCCTGCTCCCAGCCCACTGAAGCTGGAGGCTGCAGAGGCTGACAAGTCCAAGGTTGACAAGCAAAAAGTCACCATGCTGATGTTAACAAACCACACAGCAGGCCATTAATTCAAGTCCATTGAAAGTCCCCAGGTTGGCAGAGCATGGCAAGCTGCTGAACAATGAGATAGTTAAATGCAGGGTTCAATCCTGCCATAAGCTAGAGACCATTCCCAAGCTCTTTCTTTCTTATATGGGAGGCAAACCACATGCCCAAAGCAGCTACTCAACTGTTCCAATAGATTCCACCATGTAGTTAATTCCAGTCTCACCATGGGCAGTAAGTACATTAAGCTGCCCAGTCACTCAACCAGGCCCAGGCAAGTTGACACACAAACTTAACCACCACCCCAAATATGATAGCTTTCTCCAGGGACTTGTCCCTACCACAACCTGACCAAAAGATGAGAGGTGAAGCCTCACTATCCTTGCTTCTAATAAACTGCTGCCCAGTCATGCTCCATCCTTATGTTCTGTTTTATTAAACCATTGTGATCCGTAAGATTTTCTTTGGTTTATTTTTGGAAGTGGAAAGCCAAGTCTTTCTTCCCAATCTTCAGGAATTTCCACTGAAACCTGTTTAATATTTCAGCAACATACAGACCTCTACTACCAGATGGTTGCTGCAATGAGATACATTTTTTTTTATTATTATTATGATTTGGGTGAAGATTTACAGAGTAAATTCACTCTCCATACAGCAGTTCACATATACTATGTCCCATAACATTGACCAG